GTCCCCCACGCAGTCCTTCCCTCCGTATTGGGGCTCAGGGCTGTTGCAGACCCGCGAGCGCTCGCGGATCCCTCCTGCACAAGTGACCGTGCAGGCCGACCATGGGGACCAGGGGCTCCAGCGGCCGTCGACTGTAGAGAGAGCCAGGAGAGGGGCTTAGTGAGGGGAGGGTCAGACAGTGTCGTCCCGGCTGACATGCGCGGGGCCAAGAGAGAGAGGCGGCAGCAAAGCCCACGTGGCCGAGGACTGTCGTAGGGGAAGAGGACAAGGGGGTGCTTGGTCCTTGGTGGCCACAACTCAGGAAGCAATGTGGATGGCAGACGGTCTGGCGGTTGTGTTTCACCTCTCAGGGCCTCTCAACACCTCGACAGGCCGCAGCCTGGCTCTCTACGAGGGGGGCCTCTGGGCTGGAGACGGCCTGGTCTCTGAGCAGTGGACATGGACTTTGTGCAGCATGCCCTGCCCCCAGAAGTCCCTGTGCCCTGCGCCATCGTGTTCCCGGAGCTGTGTCTCGCACAGACTCGCGCAAGGTCCTCCCCTGGCGCTCTGTCTGCACACCTGCTGCCTCCCAGGCCAGGCTCTCAGCTTTGGTTCACGTCCTGCTAAGTGCAGATTTAAGGTGACTGTGTCTGCAGGACACAGGTGCGGCCTGGCTGAGTCAGAGGGGGGACAAGCTGGGTCCTCAGGAGATGGCTGGCTTTGGCCTCCGTGACCAGCTGGGTGGGATGGTCCCAGCCAGTGGGAGCCCAGTTTTAGCTCCGTCCTCACTCTGAGCTGCCTGTGCCACCTGAGCCCCAGGACCTGTGTCACCACTCACTTGGGCAGGGGTCACGCTGGCAGGCTTTGGTCTCCCGGCCACTGCCTTTGCAGTTCTTGCCGCCCATCTGGGGGACTGGGGAGTTGCACAGGCGGATGCGTGTGATGTTGCCGACCCCACAGGTGACAGAGCATGAAGACCAGGGTGACCAGTGGCTCCAGCCGCCGTTCTGTCGGACTAGCACACGGAAGCACAAAGAGACCAGTGTCTGGCTGTGTCCAGGGGCTGGGCCACCCCAGGGTTGCCTTCTGCTGCACATGCCCAGGGACAGAGAGGCGAGGGTGGACAGCTGTCGTCACCTTTGCCCCAGGAGACATCCCCGGGTGCGGGCCAGGGTGAGCCCCGTCCCTGGCCGGCCCCAGATACTCACTGCGGGTGTCACACTTGCCCAGGCTGCAAGCCCGCGTCTGGATGGAAGGGCCTAGGCAGGTGTTGCTGGTGACATCGCACGACCGGCCTCGCTGCTGGGTCCCAGAGCCACAGGTGACAGAACACTCGGTCCACTCTGCCCATGGGGACCAGCCCTCCTCGCTGTCCATTGCTGGCCAAGAAAGATGGACACAGAGGTCAGGCCCTGCCTCCAGGAGAGGCCCGGGTCAGACCTGGCAGCTCAGCACCGCCTGGTTCCTGCTCAGGAGACTTGGGCACCTCCCAGGCACAGGCTTCCTGACCGGTGGCCCCCGTGGTGGTGGCAGGCCCCATAGAAGACCGGGCAGCCATCACCCGGGAAGATCCCAGTGGCCTTCCTGGGGAAGAAGGACGTGGATGTGGGTTCTGCTGCTGTCCACGGGAGGAGAGCGTGCGCTGGGCGTGCAGGGAAGGCGGCTCCAGGCTGAGAGCAGCTCCCAGGGGCTCTGCCAGCCGTGGCCTGGCCAGAGCCTGAGGACGGCCCCCCTGCTCTCCACCTGGCTGATGGAGCCAAGGTGACAGCCTCACCGCTGGTTGGAATCACAGCCCACAGCGCCCACTAGACTGGAGACATGGAGGAAAAGACAACTTCCGGCAGAGGAGGGAGAGGGCAACTTCACCAGGGAGCTCTCCGGCAGCACTGTGGCCGGGCGCCGCGGAAGCCGGGGGCAGGATGGCCCAGGAGGCCAGCCCTCCTCCTGTCCACTTGCTCCCTGTGCCCTAAACGCCTCCCTCCAACGGCCTGAGGTGGCTGTCCCCGGGTCTGCCCTGGCGCCCAGCAGTCCATCCGCCACCTGCAGGCCCATGGTCTTTCGAGCCAAGCTGACCTGCTGTGCCAGGGACGGTCTCAGCTCCCGACACCGAGTCTGAGACTGGAATTCAGAGCAGCAGAGCCTGGCTCCTCCCAGCCCAGTTCTCTGCTCAGATCCCGAGGTCAGGGGTACCGAGGACGGCCCCAGGACCACCAGCCGTGCTCGGCCAGGCCCAGCAGAGCCCTCTCAGTCTGAGTGTCCCTGGAAGCAGGACAAGGGGCGGAGAAGGACGGCCTGAAGGGAGAAGGCACTGTGCTCCCCCAGGCCACAGGGCGGCACACCCAGGCCCCGTGGCCTGCTCAGAGCCAGCCTGAGGAGGGGGTGCAGTGCCGGGTGACCAGGACTCCTGGGAGCAAGTGTGCTGGGCAGCAGGCTCCACCCAAGGGACAGGAGGAGGGTGAGACCTGGCACCCAGGGCCACACCCCAGGCTAGACCCCAGCCATGGAGGACAGCGTCCTCAGAGGGAGGCGTCATGTCCAGCCCAGAGGGAAGAGCGGGCTCTGCACCTGTGCAGGATGAAAGCCGCGAGCTCCAGCCAAGCTGAGGCTTGGGCAGGGGCAGTGTCCCCAGGCACCCAGGTAGCCTGGCTKGGAGCCACTGCAGGGTGAGCTCTGGGGTCAGGACTGGGGAGTGGGCTGCAGGGTAGCCAGCGTGGAACAAGCAGATACAGGGGACGCTCTAGTGCCATCCCAGTCCTCTGCACAGTGGGCTGGACCCAGGAGGCCAGCATCTCCGTCCCCATCACTGGGAACATTCTATGGCTTAGAGAGTGTCCCTGGTGACAGCCTCGGGGTTCTGTGTGTCTGTCTCCCTGCTGTTCCAGAGGTGTCTCTGCGGTGACCAACCATGATCCTTCACGGTCTCCACCTGGTGTGGGCACTGGCCACAGCCTGGTGTTGACACAGGGCCTCGCTCTGGCCCAGAGCCRGGTCTGTGGACATGGCAGGATCCCTGGGGCTCAGCCTCCTGTGCTGAGAGTGACAGGGAGGCACTGAACCCTGGCCCCTGCGTTCTGAGGACCCTAGAGTTGCTTCCTGGTCACGGGCTAGGAAAAGGCAGAGACCCAGCTGTCCCTCAGTGTCCCATCTGCCTGTCCTCACCAGGCTGTCTCACCCTCCTCTGTCCCCGCCAACCCAGGAGCAAACACAGCAGCCAYGACCCTGCCCTGCGGGTGCTCGCGGGCAGTACTCACAGTGGGAGCAGGAAGGACAGCACTCGTCCTCGGCAAAAGCTGGGCTGGCRCAGGTGGCAGGCGGGCAGGAGATTTGGTGGCAGACGACCTTGAACTTCTGTGGGTAAAGGAGGCCCCTGAGGCCACTCATCAAGGCAGCAGCCTTGGTTCAGGGCTGGGTGGAAAGGGCCAGCAGGGCAGTGGACGTCTTGTGTCCAGGGTCCTACATGATAACCCRAGACGTGGCCTGCCCTGAGGTGGCTCGTGGGCCCAGCAGGTCCTGTCTCCTGCCACTCAGCAAAGAGACTGCAGCAAAGACTGGCCACGGGTATGCTAGGGGAGGAGGACGGGTGGGCAGGGTGGCCTTGTGCTGGGGGAAGTCTGGGTCCCCATGCACAGAAACTGGCCATTACTGAGAAGAGCCAGGTCCTCTAGTGTTCCTGACGCTGACCTGCATCCCAGAGGCTTCTGCTAAGCACCAAGGCCCCACTGGACCTGCACGGCATGAGACACGGATCAGGGGCCTCTGGGTAGCTCCGTTCCAGGTGTTCCTGACCTCTGGTGACACTGGCCAGTCACACACTCTCTGGCTCTGGCTYCTTCATGTGTGAAGCCTCGAGGTTGGGCCTGGTCACACTTCGGTGCCTCCCACTGTCCCCTCCAGCCCTACCCCCGCCTGCCTGTGTCTGTGGCTCCTCCGTGCTCAGAGGCGGCCTGTGGGGCCCCAGGAGCTCACCTTGCAGGTGCAGGAYGTGCAGCTGTCCACCACCCAGGTTTCGTTTTCTGCAAAGAACCGGCCATCCTGCCAGCAGGCCGTCATGTTCCTCGTCTTAGGAGGGCCACCAAGGAGCTCGAGCAGGAACTGGTTATCATTTGACTGCAAAGGGGTCCAGCGTCAGGAGTGGACCAGAACCCAGCACCGTCTCGAGCCGTCTGGGTGGGAACCTCCCCTTTTCTGAGCAGCTGGGACCCGCAGCGGGGAGCCCAAGGGTGCAGACGGGAAGCCGCGGAGCCCGAGCCACAGACCTCCCCAGCACCCTGGGCTTCCCACTCCTTCTCTCAGTGAGACCCAGCTCACGAGCCTCAACACCTGGGTGGGCCACGCTGCTGGTGCTGGGCAGCTGGCAGATGTCCGGGGCACRGCAGGAGGAGCCGCAGCTGGCTGCAGCCCAGAATCACTCACTCCTGCCTCCCCTCCAGGCAGGACAGCCACAGTGCAGAGGCAGGGAAAGAGGCCCTGGGGACTGCCGCCCCTCAGCCAGCTGAGCCAATGCCCTGGGGGCTCTCTGCCTGTTGCTTCCCCCAGGCAATCCCTGGTGTGGCCAGCAGGCCCTCTGATGGCACAGCCATCAGCAACACTTCCCGACACATCCGGGAATGGATCGCGGTGCTGCCTTCGCAGACCTGCTGACCAAAAGGCAGACTCGCTGCAGGACAGGGTCTGTGGTTCAGGTTGCCCAGGAGCGCGATCTGGAAGCAACCTCCGTGCCCTCGATCCCCCAGCATGGGCAGGCACCTGCAGGGAGGCTGCCAGAGGACCACCTGCAAGAGCTGCTCCCACTTCGGCTCCATCACATGCCCCATGGAGGGGGCCAGGAGGCTGCTCTGCCCTTGGGGTGCCCCTGAGCCAGCCCTGGGGCCTTCTGGGGCCCTTCCACTGCCCAGCAATGGATGGTAGTCCTGGGTCCCTCAGGTCCAGACAGGGTCAGAGCATCCCCACACAGGGGCTCCTTCCATGTGGGGACAGAGGGGCCAGGGAGTGCCTCGGGTGGGAGCCCAGGCCCACGGCCGCCTCCTCCCTCACTCCTCCCACCCCCTGACACAGTCCTCTGGGGAGCAGCTGCTGTTCTTTGGTGGACACTAGCTCAGCCGTGTGGACGTCACGGGCAGCATGGCCCGCTCCGCCTTGCCACTGCCAGCTTCTGAGCTTTGAGGCACCGTGGCTCTTGCTCTCTGCTTCACGTAGCTCAAGATGCCCCAGAGCAGCCCCTGGCCCCCGTCTGTCCGTCTGGCTGCTGCTCACACCTCTGCCTCCCCCTCTGCACAGGCGTGTTTCTGTCTGTGGGGAGGAGAACTTGCCCAGATAAGGGCGTGTTTTGGAGAATGTGCATCCCCCGCCTGCGTCTCCCTCCCCTGAAGCCCCAGCATCCCGGGGGAGCCAGCATGCACACCCCCAGAGGCAGCTGGCTGCAGGGAGGTGTGGCCCCCGCCTGCCTGGGCACCCACCACTCTCCTCAGGTTCTCRCTGAGCTGGTTCACCAGGACGTGCAGCCCCGAGAGCTCGTTGATCATGTGGCCCAGCTCCTCGCAGGAGTGCTCGCACACCTCCGGCCTCTTCGCCACTCCCTGGCCCACGAACTCCGTGGTGGTGTGAGGGCCCAGGTGCAGYGTCTCCGTGTGCTCGCTGATGGCGTTGATCTCAGCTGCGGAACACACACCCGGGCAGTGAGAGCCTGGCCTCTGGTGCTGTGTGCCGGTGCCCACAGCCAGGGGGAGTGGCCTGTGMTGAGGAGGTGGGCAGGGACCCGACCTAACAGAACGGGAAGCCTCCCTTACGCAGGGTRCTCAGCAGGTACAGTCCACTAGCAGAGGGCCGGGGCCACACCTGTGGTCCCAGCCACAAGGAGGCTGAGGCAGGAGGCTCCCAAAGCCAGGTCACCTCTGCAGCCAAGCAAGACCCTGTCTCAAGATGGAAACTAAAATGTGCTGCCAGCGTGGCTCAGTGAGGAGTGCTCCCGGGCTCAGTCCCTGTGCCACCAAAGACAAGTCCACTGGCAGAGCAGGAGTCCAGTTCAGGAGCAGAAAAATGCCGAAAGTACAGCCAGACCSGAGGCCGAGGCCGGTGAGTGGGTGCGCTGCCCTGGGCCCTCCGCAGACGGAGTCGGGGAGCAGCCGCGAGCTCTGGTCATGCCTTCTCTTTGCCCCATCCGTCCCCTGTTCAGCCACAGGCTCAGGCACACGGAGGGTCCCTCTCCACCTAACGCCCTGCCCCAGGGTCCTGGAACACTGGGCTCCTCGGCCTCTGTCTGCCCTCAGGTCTCTCACTGCCCTGGAAACCACGCAGGCCCCCAGAGCCCTGGCCCATGGGCGCACGTGGGCAGGGTCCTCAGCTTACACAGTGACCTGGGGCGAGTCCASAACCAGAACCGTCCCGGAGGGGCCCAGCTCCCTGGCGGGTGACTGYAGGCACGTAAAGGGCCGTCTCCTTTCAGACCTTCCATTTCTGAGCTGCGTGAGTAGGAGGTGCTTCTGCCGTACCCACGTGAGCCTCCTTGCTCAGCTGTGAGCCAGTGCTGCAGCCCACGTCGGGCTGTGAGTGCCTCGGCCCTCRCCTACAGCTTCCTCCAGCCTTGCACACGTGAGTGCCTGCACAACTAACCAACGGACCAGGGGGACGGTGACAGACAGGTGGGGGTGGACAGACAGCATTCGACAGGTGGTGGGCACTGCATGGTCCATGGATGATAGGTGACAGATGATAGATCACAGGGGATTGACAGATGGTAGATGGTAGGTGACAGAGGACAGATGATGGGTGATACATGACCCACGGACCATAGGTGATGGATGGTATAGAGGAGTAGGTGACAGGTGATCGATCACAGATGATTGACAGGTGACAGATGACAGATGTCAGATAAGAGATGACAGGTGATAAATGATACTCAGATGATGAATAGATGACAGATGATGGATAGATGACAGATGATGGATGGATAGATGACAGATGACAAGTGATGGTTAGATGACAGATGACAGGTGACAGATGATGAGTAGATGACAGATGACAGGTGATGAATACATGACAGATAATAGATGACAGATGATGGATAGATGACAGGTGACAGATGATGGGTAGATGACAGATGACAGATGATGGATAGATGACAGGTGACAGATGATAGATGACAGTGACAGATGATGGATATGGGACAGGTGACATGATGGGTAGATGACAGATGACGGAGGACAGGTGGCAGGTGATGCAAGACACCCAGGGAGGTGGCCACGCCATGTTGGGGACCCTGTGGGCACAGGAGCGCTGGCTCACTGGAGGCCCAGCTGTGTGTCTCCCTCCTCACRGCTGCCCGAGGCCGCCTGGTCCCCACTGCTGTCCTGCTGAGCAGGTCCCCTGCGTGTCAGGGTCTCCGTGGTGGGATCTCGAGGCCGGGCCGGCACAGAGGCCCTCGACCCCCCCAGCCCCACCTATGAGCTGGCTGCCACTGTGGGGCCAGGCTGGGAGGGAGCCCTGGCCTTGGGCAGGGAGTCCAGTGGACCAGGGACAGGCCACCTCATGACGGACCTGGCGGGCTGTGGAGTCATCTTTTAAGAAGGGCTGGGAAGGTCCAGCAGGGTCATGGGTGGCTCTGGTAGTGCAGGGATATGGACCTGGACTGCCAGCTGCCTYGCCTGGTCTGAGCGGCCCTCGGGGTCGGCTCGCGCGGGTGGGGGTCCTGATCTGTGGGGGCTGTTCATGGCCGTGGGCCACCTCGGGAGCTCCAGCTCGAGCTGGGCCACACGGAACCGTGTGCAGGAGCCGCGAAGCAGAGCCCCGAGCGCACTCGGTCCTTAGGAAGACAACGCTGTGTGTGCTGGTCTCTTAACATCCTCTCCCTGCCCTGGCCGTCACGTGGCCAGCAGAGTGACCACGGTGGCCTCAGCCAGCATCCTGGACCCACAGGAGGCCCAGGAGCAACCTGAAAGGTGCCTGCTCGGGTCTCGGGACCTGCCAAGGGCTCAGGCGCTGGGAACCGCCGGCCACCCCGGCCCGCTCTGAAGCCAAGTGCAGGGTCGCAGAGCCGGTTTCCACCCAGGCAGCCCAGGAAAGCCAGCCCGCTGCGGAGGCTCACGCGACTCTTGGTGTGGAAACTGCCTCGGGCCTCCTCTTCTCTGTCAGACARTGGGCAGTGGCTGGGTGGACGAGGACCGCCAGGCCGGAGGGGGCCCCGGCTCCACCCAGCACAGAGGGTCATTCTGAGGGTGCTGAGATGCTGCTCAGCAGACCCTGCCCCAGGACCTCCACCAGTGAAATGCTCAAGAGGAGCTGGCACAGCAGGGTGGAAATGCCACTGGAGAAGTGAGCTAGCAGATGAGAACGTCCGTCAACGGCAGAGTAGCCCTACCTCACAGCCTGACTGGACAGCCCTGGGGACCGTAGGGAAACTGCGACCTGTCCCATGGTCTGTGAATCCCCTGGGCARCGGTGGTCACTGACTGCTTTGAAAAGCTGCCTCCCTTCAACACTGGATCAAAGTGTGGGCCATCTAACTTCTAGCTTGTAAAGGGGATTTGTTGGTTTATATCCAAGGTCTTAAAATCAGCATATTATAGTAATGCAGCCACGTCGACATTTATAGCAGCTCAACTCACACTACTAAACTATAGAAGTAACCTAGGTGTCCTTCAACAGATGACGGATAAACAAAATGTGATATATATACACACACACACAGACACACCACGATGGAATATTACTCAGCCTTAAAGAAGAATGAAATTATGGCATTTGCTGGTAAATGGATGGAGCTGGAGAATATCATGCTAAGCAAAACAAGCCAATCCCAAAAAACCAAAGCCAAATGTTTTCTCTGATATGTGGATGCTAATTCACAATAAGGGGGTGGCAAGGGGAAAACAGAGGTACTTTCAATTAGGTAGAGAGGAGTGAAGGGAGGGGAGAGAGAGGGGGCAGGAAGGATATCAGAATAAATCGGACATTATTCCCTGTGCATGTGTGACTGCRGGACCTGTGGGATTCTGCATCATGTCCACAGAAGAATGAGAAACTGTACCCCTTACATACGATGTATCAAAGTACATCCTACGGTTATGTACAGCTAGTTAAAACAGCTTTAAAAATAAATAGACTATTCAGAACAATCCTTGATACCTCTCACGTTCAGAGCCAGCTTGTCTCAGGGACCACAGGCCCCAGGCGCTGTTGCTAAAGTGCCCCCTGGTGTGCGCGAGGAAGCGCCAGGTGTGCTGCTGTGTTCCCACCTCCCTGGGCTCCTGGGCAGCCACCCCAGGAGGCGCCAGGTGTGCTGCTGTGTTCCCACCTCCCTGGGCTCCCGGGCAGCCCACCCCAGGAGGCGCCAGGTGTGTGGTATGTACCCACCTCCCTGGGCTCCTGGGCAGCCCTTCCGGCTCAGGAGGTCCTCCACGGAGTTCTCGAACATCAGGTGCATGTTTTGCAGCAGACCCTGTGGAAGTGCACCATGGGGCAGGTGAGCCAAGCCTGAGACCCGCTGGAGGACACCTCGCCCACCGTGAGGCCAGCCAGCAGGGCGTCTGCTGCCCTAGCGGGTCCTGGGCCTGCTGTGGGGAACGGGTTTCTAGACACAGCACCAGAGGTGGGAGTGGAGCCCAGAAACTAGAGCCAGGAGAGGAAAGGCCTGCGGGGAGCAGGAGGGTCTGGGGAGAGCGACCCTCAGCGGGCTCAGGTGGACTCCAGGCGAACTCCTGGCAGAGTCCTCACCAGGGCCCGGGGCTTGGCAGTGTCCCCTGCCCAGGCAGGGACCCAGCTCTGGCCTGTGGGAGCCCTCACGCCAGGATGGAAGCCCCCCTGAGGTGCGCCTGGTCAGCCACCAGYGACGGCCAGGGTGTCCTGCGGGCAGGAGGGGTTCATCAGTAGCAAGCCGTGCATCTGCTACTCAGATRGCCAAGTTCTCACCCACACGTGTGTCCAAGAACACGCGCTCGCCCGGGAGAGAGCAACGTGCAGCTGTTCCTCCACTTACAGGTCAGTCGGGACCAGACAGACCCAGGGCAGGATAAGACGTCACCAGTGGAAAGCACTCACACCCACCCACGGCCAGCACCACACCCAGGGCAGCGCCCAGTGTCCCCTCCTGACCAGGGACCCTGGGAGCTGCAGCTCAGGGCTGCCCAGCTCGGGAGAGGCTCCACCCCCACACTGCCCGAGGAGACCAGAACTGCCCGTCTGAAGTGCCCTCCACTGCCTGGGCACGCGTCGCSGGTGCGCCTACGTGGGACCCTCTGTGCTGCCATCCTGCTGCGGGTTCCGAGGCTCACGACTTAGCCAGCCCTGTCTGAGCCCACAGCTGCGGGGGCAGGGCCTGTCCTCTGGGRGAGCAGCAGCCCCCTTGGGAGGACGGCTGGGGAGAGTTCTCACACCCTCTCATGGCCAAGGTGCGTGCTGGGCTTTGGCTTCAGGCTCGAGCAATGAAKGTGGGGTTGCCAGGAGCAAGAGTGGCTAGTTCCCAGGTCTCCGAGCAGCCTGTCTCGACCGCTGACCACTGGCGAGGAGCCCCTGTGGCCACAGGCTCTGCTCTGTGGCTCAGGAAGGTGTGTGCTGTGTCTGGAGTGCACCATGTGAGTTTGTTCACGGTGCTCATGTCCACGTTAGGTGGTGCATGTGCATGTTGAGCACATGTTTGGGGCATGTGTGTGCACACATGTGTAGCTCACACATGGCAATTGTGAGTGCAAGTGTGAGTGTGGTGCACATTCGTGATAGTACATGTACGTGTGAGAATCTGTGTTTCTCTCTGTGTGTACGTGTGTGTATGTGTGTGTGCATGTGTGTATGAGCATGTGAATCTCTGTGTTTCTGTGTGCATTCCTGTGTGTACATGTGTGTGTTCATGTATGTATATGTCATGTGTGTACATGTGTGCATGCATGTACGTGTGTACATGTGTATATGTGCATGTGTGCTTGCACATGTGTGCTATTCATGTGTGACTTTGCACATGCACACGTGTGTACTGTGTACGTGTGTGTTCACTTGTGTGTGCATGTGTACTTGTGTGTACATGTATGTGCATGTGTGTATGTGTGTGTGCATGTGCACATGTGTGTGTGCGTGTGTGTGCACACAGGTATGACTCGCTGGCCATTCCCAGGGTTGTAAAAATGCATCCTCCCGCACTGTGCTAAGGACCCAGACCTGTCAGCCATGGGAGCSGGCGTGTTCTGGTGAGACTGCCCTGCTTGACCAGGCAGGTGTGTGAGGAGGGGCCCATTTCTGGGTCCCAGTAGACGCAGCCCTACATACGCACCCTGAAGTGGCTCTCRCGGGTGGCGCCTTTGGCCACGTACATCCGGCTTCTCTCGGCGCTCAGCTGCTCGTAGAAGGGCTCATCGAGGCTGAAGCTGTCGATGAGGTCGCAGCCCACATACAGGCTGTAGGTCTCGCCAGCCACCTGCACGGTGATGTTCTTCCACTGCGAGTCGGCCAGGCCCACGTCCTCCAGGGAGACAGGGTGCGGGGTACCCTCGGTCCAGTAGGTGAGGTCCAGGGTGTCCGCCGGGCCGTTGGAGACGATCTCGAATTGCCGCTGCGAGGCGCCGGGGCCCTCCAGGGCCAGCAGCGTGCCGCGGGACTTGCGGTCCTGTTTCAGCTGGGCCGTGAGGAAGAAGCCCTCCTTGTGCCGCATGGTCCTGAGGATCCTGCTCAGGTCCTCGCTGTTCACCGGGGGGATGTAGTCGAAGCGGACAAACCGGTACGCGGGCACCCCGGGGTCAGGCCCGCGGAACTGCTTGGCACCGATCGTCTTCCGGTTGATGTTGCTGACGCTGAAGAGGTCGAAGGAGGTGTCCTCCTCGTCTGGGTCACCAGCTGCCAAGGGAGGCAGAGCAGGGGGTTACTAACACCAGGTGGGCACCCGGGGGCGGGGTGGCAAAGCAGGGCGGCGAGGCCAGCTCACTGGGGGTCTGCTGCGCCCCCTTGGCACGAGAGCTCGGGGCTCCTCCGAGGAAGGCCACCACCCAGGCTGCGGTCCCCAGTGCCCCGACAGCTGTGGGTTAGCTTTGTCCTTGGCTGGAACGGCGTGGTGCTGCGGGTGGGCATTGGCCACCAGGGCCATCCCATGCGGCCGCACACCCACAGTGGGGCTTCCTCAGCTCTGGCAGGCCACCCCACCTTGTCCAGGCAGGACTTGGAGCCTCCCCTCTGTTGACCTCCCCAGGTGGGAGGCACAGGGAGGCTCCTCCAAGCCCCAGTGCCCGGGGGGGTACCCCAGTGCAAAGCCAGGCTTGGGGACGGAGCAAAAGGGACACAGGCAGGCGGTGTCCCGGGTGGGACCCTCCTCCTTGGACTCACTGGCCATTCCCAGGGTTGTAAAACTGCATCCTCCCACACGGTGCTGAGGACCCAGACCTGTCGGGCCTCTGGCTGTRGTGAGTGGTTCCAAGTCACTGTCCAAGTGCGACAAAGGAAACTCAGCACAGTTCCCCAAAGGACAGCAGTGTGAATAACTCAGAATCATGCACCGAATAAAATGCTTTAAAAGCTTTAAATAGTATGATTCTCTATCTTGGCACATTGAAGCACTATAACATGTGCTGGTGCCCAGAGATGACCACATGGATAGGACCACGGTCAGTATGGCTCTTGGTAGGAATTAAGTTGATTAAAACCTTTGACTATTGCAATTAAAAGAGCAATTTATTTTTGTAACTTATACAAAGGATATGACCACAAATGCTAGTGAAAGTTTATTCACAATGAATGAAATAACATCTAAAGGGGAATTGATCTCAAAGCATTAGGGCTTCTCTGATGGAATACTGTGCAATCATTAACAATCACGCTGTGAAAAACAAACACGTGGTAAAATAGTTAGGATAACATCGTAGGCAGAAAGGAAGTGGGAAGAAGACACAAAACACCAGCCCTCTGCACTGCTGAGCAGACAGCGTGTGCAAAAGGAGCAGAGCTGAGCACAGCCAAACCCCGCAGCCCTGCTGGGTGGCATTTTATCTAATACCCAAGTTTTCCAAAAATAAACCCTTCCGTGTTGTAGGGACTCAAAGGCAAGTAAAGCTTTCATTTGCAAAGCCAAACGCAGCCACTTCGTGGGGTCCACTCACCGAGCGCGCTGGGCCACGCCCACAGGGCCAGCAGGGCCATCCCCCAGAGCATCCTGCGTCCTGCTGCAGCTCCTAGGAGAAAAGCAGCCCTGGTCAGAGAGGGGCGCAGCGGCCGCGTGTCGCCGGAGGGTGTGCTCCTGTACCCTCGGCCACAGCTGCACGTAGACTCAGAGGGGGGTCCCCGCAGCCCGTGGAGGGTCCCCACAGCCCACCGAGGCACAGGACGCTGTTCCGGTAGACTCCTCCCCCTGGGCGGATGTTAGTGGGCGGGCATGCTGGACCAGCACCCTGGTGGCGTTCTGAATATTGCCGTGATCTAACCCCCCGGGGGCAGAATGGCCATAACTGCCCTGCCCCGCAGAGGGGYAGTGGACAGTGTCTGGTTGCTGGTGCTGAGTGGTTCTGCTGAGGAGACCTGTCACCAAGACTCAGAGTCTGACGGTGGAAGTCACCAAACACCCAGCCTGGTGCACAGTCTGTGCAGGCCTTGTCCCACCTCAGCTAACTGGCCCCTGGGCGCAGCCTTCCCAGGGAACACGTGAGGGTTACTGACGGGAGGGTCCTGGGAGCGGGTCTCGGCTACTTTCCTACTTTCCTGCAGCCTGTTTTTCCATTCTTGAGGGTTTAAGTTGGCAGGGTGCAGCGGGGCTGGATCACCAGTCAGGAGACCTGGACGGAAGCCCAGCTCCACAGTTAACTCCTCGCGGGCCTCCGTGAGCCCTCAGTCTGGGCTCCTCATCCCAGAGGTGGGTGATGTGGGCACTGGACCCAGGTCCTTCCTACAGCCCCCAGCCTGCTCCAGGTGGACGCTGACCCCTCCTTATTTAGAACCCCAAGCTCCCTCCTCCTAGACCAAGGAGTCTCCCTCTCCAAGACATCTGGTGAGCCGGACCCAGCCACCTTCCTGGGGGAGAGAGGTGGCCCCAGGCAGGGGCTGCGTGCAGGGACCCCTTCCCACAGCGCCGTGGCCGGGCAGTTACTGTCCGTTAGCTCTGCCCCTCAGCTCCGCTCCTCTGGCACTGGCTGCGCCGCCTGCCTTCATTGCCAGCATCTGACTGGCTGGGCTGCTCGGAGAAGTCCCTCCAGCAGATGACCATCTGTCCAGCACCTCTTAGCCGGCCCAGAAAGCCCAGTGAAGGACTCGCTCACTGTGCACCTGGACTCTTTCCCACTGTCGCCTCCGAGGTGGTGGTAGGAACAACGAGATGTCCCCATCTGGGCCTTTCACAGAGTTTTTAGGGACTAAGTTACAGGGGTAAACCCTTGCTGTGTACTCAGAACAGTACCMAGTTCACGAAGCCATCCGGAGACGCTAAGGGATCAGCAGTGCCAGGTGCCACGTCAGAAGGCTCTTCCCTGTCGCCCACCCTCGACAGGCAGGAGCCACCGACCCCTGTCCCTCCCTGTGAAGCCTGCTCTGCGGGGGGACAGGCTGCGTGAAGGAGAGCTCCATCCCAGCCACAGCACAGCACCCATGCCTCACGGCAGGCTCAGAAAGTGAGCTCAGCGTTCAAAGCCAGCCTCAGCAACAGCAGTGAGGCCCTGCCTCTGATAAAATACAGAACAGGTCTGGGGACATGGCTCCAGGGTCGAATGCCCCAGAATTCAAGCTCCGGCACCAAAAAGGAAAAAGAAAGTGAACTCAACTTTGTTTTGACAAGATCAACTCCTGTCCTAAGACAGCAGCCTGCCGCTCCCTGCAGGACAGACCCTCTTCCCGTGGGTGCCTGCGGAACGGGCCAGTCGGTCGGTGCAGGTGGGCTGGCAGGGCAAGGGTGCTGCAGGCCCCGGAGGTGCATCACAGCTCCGTGGTGTCCTCCACCCCCCAGGTGCCCATGCCAAACRCTCATGCTTGTGTCTTTCAGCCACAGAGTGCAAGTGAATGTTGGAGACCTTGGAGCGTCTGTGAGCCTCCTCTTTACACAAAGTGAGAAGGAGCTTTGCAGAGATGCTCCTGGGATCCCTCAGRAGTGGTCACACATGAAGCGCAGGGTCAGCTCAGCCCCGTCTGTGGGCGGCTGTCACTCCTGGCAGCAGCTGCACCCGGCCAGCTCTGTCCATGAGCAGCCCGTGCCCGAGCCCCTCAAAGCCACAGCACCCCCCCTACAGCYCCTTCAGGACCACTGGGCGTCCCCTGGAGCACCGGCACCGCTCAGCCGGCAGCGCTCGCCCAGGGAGTCCGGGACCGTGGTCCCTGCTYGCGCTCCAGGCCCTGCCTGCCATTCCTCTCTCGCGCTCCCTCCTCCACAGCAAGAGTCGGAGCAGAAACTTCCTCCTGGGAAGAGGAAAGAGGAGCACTTGCAGCTCCTGGGGCAAGACCCACGWGCAAACCGCAGAGCCGCGGGCACGGAGCAGGGCCAGGCAGCCACCACCCCAGACTCCAGCCTCCGCTGCCCTGTCCTCTCCCCTCCGGGAGTTGAGAGACTTTCTGCCCGTCACAGTCCAATGCGGTGACTTAAAAGTCAAAATAAGGTGCGTTACCTGGTGTGCTGTCCCGCCGGGGTGCTGACTGACCTCAGGGTTTCCGAGCAGGACCGGAAGGACGCAGTTTCCCCAGTGGAGACCCCGGGCCGCAGAGCACCGTGGTGGACGCTTCCCACTGCTCTGGGCAGCAGGCGCCTCCTTTATATGCTGCTTTTTCCGAGTAGCCCTGTCAATCAGACACGCGAGGAAGCACGTTTAATTCATTCCTTCGAAGGAGTGACACAGTTCCTCCTTCTGATCTCGCCATTTGCTCCCAGTACCTGCTGTCTGAGTCCAAGTCCAGCCCCTCTGTGYGGCTGCCGCCCTCCTCTTGTGTCCACCAAGGCCTCCAGACATGGGACGGACGGGGAGGAGCCAGACGGAGAGGAGAGGGCAGGGACTCACTTTTCCTGTCTTCTCTCAGGAAATAAAATGCTATAAATAAAACTAGCAAGATTGGCTGGAACTCCCCATTTTGCTTAAGAGAAAAAAATGCAAGTTCTATGCTTTAAATATGTTTCAAATTACCCGATGGGATACCGTTCTTTCCACACCAAGCAAGAGTCAGCAACACATAAAAGAAACTGGTGGGTGTAAATAGCTGGCCGCTGCGTTGCTCAAGTTATCATAGTGAAAGAATTATTTTTGCYATGTGCAAAAAAAGTTGACTTTAAAATAGAGTCGACAAATGTGATTTCAAGCCGTCGGAGCACTGAGGAGTCGTACTGCCCCACAGGAGAACCGATTGTAATCAAACCTGCGTCACCTACTCGTACATTTGATCTCCTGCAACAGTGTCTGGCCCTCGGGGCAGAACTTCCAGTGGCCAAAGAACCCCCAAGCAGAGGCAAAATCTCAGTGGGAGGGAGGGTCACTCAGGGTTGCCCTGGAGAGGGACGTGAGCCCAGAGGCAGCTGCTAGGCTCCTGCCCACAGCTCATGTCACCCAGGCCAAGTGGACAGACTGTGGACACCRGGGGACATGGGCATCACCCAGGGTGGGCAGCGAGCAGGGACATTGCCAGGTGTGGACAGGACATGAGAGGAGGTAGGCATCACCCAGGGTGGATGGTGGACAGAGGAAGGGAACATCACCCAGAGCCCAGCACCTGGCTCCTTTTGTGCAGTCTACACCTTGGTGCCTGGACATGGGCTCTGTGGGAACAAACTGGGGACAAGTCAAGTCTTTCTGAAAGCACACTCAAGCAAAGGTGCCTGGAGAGAGCGCCAACACCTTCCTGTTCTTGACATGCTGGAGCGCCCGGCTGTCACTGACCCTGAGGAGCCTTGGACCACCGGAGGATGTCCTGCCCCCGMGCCTGCAGCCTGTCTCCTTGTGGCACTTCTCTCCTGAGAACCAACCCCAACTCCTGGCACAGAGAGGAGGGACCAGGCTGAACTGCACGTGGGAGTCCTCTAGGGTGGGACATCGGTGTTAGGTCTCTGGTGAGGGCAAAGTCCACTTTTTGAATTAAAGTGTCTGAATTCAAATTTGCATAAATAAGCTGATGTCATCCCAGATTCCTAAGAGAAACTGGGCCTGCTTCCCCAGTGCAGCTGCGGCTCCTGCTGGGGCCGAGGGTGCTTCCCGCCCTGCTCTCCAGCACCCCCAGAGGGGCCTGGAGTCAAGGGGTCCTGCCGCGGCTCAGCCRCGCGGAACTGGAGGAGGAGGCCGCAGGCTGCCCTCCGGCTCCCGGCACACCTGGGGCAGGCATCGCTGCTCCCTGGGGGTGAGAGGAGCTCAGGGCAGGCACACTGAGGGCTGGGCAGTCCTGCCACTGCCCTGGGGGTGTCCGGAAGGAAGCCAGGGGCTGGTGACGCTCACTTCCTGGCCCCACTGTGGCACAGGGTGGGGGAGCCACTCCCTTGGGCCCTCCAGGGGGGACACAGGGCCATCAGGGTGAGACCACAGGGCAGGTGCAGGGAGGTGGAGCCCTAGGACTCTCCAGGCCTGTGCGGGTTGGGCAGAATGCAGCTCCCGGTGCCTCCCCGTGCATCCTGGGATGGAGAAGCAGGCAGGGGGCCTGGCTCAGAGGCCGCACGGCAGAGGTCCACCCCCACCTTCCAGGGCCATGCCTGAGCACAGGCTCCTGCCTCGGGAGCTGGGCAAGGCTAGGTGGCTTCAGCCGCTCCGTTTGTGGTTCTCCGTGGTCTCAGCCCCAGGAACCCGAGACAGACGCGTGGCCTGAAGTTCCACACTGCAGTTACAGGGGCAGCCAGGCCACTCTGCCGGCAGGAGGGAAAGTCCCACAGCAGAGGACACAGCCGACCTAGGGGGCCCAAGGCAGCCCCTGGGGTGATGGAGACTTGGCCACAGAGGGGCAGCGGCAGGCTGGCTGGAGGCCCGGCCTGAAGAGTGGCTCCTGCCAGGACCCAGGCTGACGCCAACGAGGAGGGAGAGATATCGCCTCTGGCCGTGGAGCAGGAGATCTTGGCAGGCCTGCAGGACGGGCCTGGTCCAATGACCCAGATCACAGCCGTCCAGAGCCGAGGTCAGCGGGCTCTCTGCAGGCACTGGCCTGCACCAGCCCAGCAACTCCAGCCTGAGGGCCCTGAGTGCAAGACTGAGGCGCCATCTGAATACAGCACACCCCGCCTGGCAGGCTGGTGAGCCACAAGGAGGAAGCTCCCAGGGGCGAGGAGTGGGACAGCATTCAAGGCAGGGCAGCAGGGCAGGTCCTGGGCTGTCCCCAGTGAGACCGGTGGCTGTGGCCCTCAGCGGGGAGGGCGTGTGCCCTAGGTGAAGAGGGCCTGGGTCTCAGAGCAGAGGAGCCGCCCAGGAATCAGGCATGTCCTGGTCCCCACCCTGCTCAGCTCTGGGGACTGCAGTGAACGTCCAMGTCGGGCAGCCTGTCCAGCGCATGAAGACGCTCGCAGTCCCATGGTCTAGTGAGGGAGGCAGCAGGCCAGCCTCACCAGGAGCACGTCCTTCCCCCAGGCTGCAGACTCGCGGCCTCCACCAAAGCGTGAGCAGGAGCCAGGACAGAGCTGCTCTGGTGGAGGAGCAGAGCCTGCAGCGTCCAGATGCAGGACAGAGGCCCACTGTCAAGGAGTGTGGACCTGGCAGCAGGCCGAGGCAGGCGGCGGGCTCGCTCACACCCAGGGGCTGCTCTAAGTCTAGGCAGGGGTGAGAAGGAGCACTGGGTGACAGGGGCCCCCACAGGTGCAGGGGACAGAGGGCAGGGAGGCTGGGGCGGGGCTGGCTGACCCAGCAGAAGGTGGAGGAGTGGCCTCCTGGGCCAGKGCTTGAGTGTGAAGTGCACAGTACAGAGGTGCTTCTGTTTGGTGCTGTCCCCTGCTGGCCGGGGCACAGGGTGACGCCTGACATTCCCTCATGACAGAAGTGTGGTAACAGGGAGAGCCAGGATGCACAACAGCACGACCTGAGTGCCCTGAGTGCAAGACTTAGACACCACCTGAATACAGACATCCCCAAGGCCAGTGTAGGGTACACAGGAGTGTGGACCTGGAGGAGAGAGGAGGCTCACACATTGACCAGACCCACGCTCTGGTCAGGACCTGTGGACAGCTGGGGCCCACGTCAACACCTACCAGGTGGTTTCCCAGCGGCTGGACTTAGACTTTGAAGTCTGCAGACTGGACATTAGGGCTCTCGTCAAGGGGAGGACAAACAGAGGCCCAGGAGCTCACGAGGCAGGGTAAAGGGAAAGACCCCCCATAGGTCCAGCTGCAGGCCCTCCTGAGGCAGGGGTCAGAAGGGGACTTGGTGGCACCATGGGATGCTCGGTGAGGACATGGGAGGCCACTTTTATTCTGGACACAGGATTGCAGACAAAGAGACCACTAGGGCAAGAAGACAAGGGACAGGAACAAGAAGGACAGGGCCCAGTGGATGTCCAAACCTGGACTGAGACACCAGGAAGCCCAGTCAGGACTCAGACA